TAATTGTTTCCCTTCAGCTTCTGAAAAAATAAACCATTTATTTACAGTTTGTGATCCTAACAGATGCTTTTGTCCAAAGCGACTTGTGCAGATCAAACGTGTCCTCGTGAAAATCGCCCTGAGGAAAGTCTTTTCATGGATGGCGTTTTTGGTTTTAGACTTTTATTGCACATTTAAATTGTGAATTCAAATAAACACGAATGGAAAATGTTTCACGGAGAAGAAAGAGACCAAAGAAATCTTCATTTTTGAATTTTTGACTCAACTCAACTCTGCCTTTCTGCTGTAAACAACTATACCACCAGACGTTGTCTGTGAAGGTTCTCAGTCATCCAGGTCATTGTAGTCTAAGGAGCTTTGAAAGAAAAGCGTCTGGACTTCTTTGAGTTGCTCGAAGACGTTTCACCTCTCATCCGAGAGGCTTCTTCAGTTCTAAGGTCAAATGGTGGAGAGTCCCAGATTTAAACCCAGTGGGAGTTTCTTGGCTCTTTTAAAGGGAGAGCACCCAGCCACTGGTACAGATATGTGGATGACACCTGGGTCAAAATCAAAACACAAGAAGTGGAATCCTTCACTACGCACATCAACGCCGTGGACAAAAACATCAAGTTCACCAGGGAAAGCATAAAGGACAACTGCTTGCCTTTCCTGGACTGCGCTGTGCACCTTGAAGACAATGGCAACCTCAACATTGAAGTGTACCGGAAGCCCACACACACGGACCAGTACGTCCTCTTCGACTCACATCACCCTCTGGAACACAAACTTGGAGTAATCAAGACCCTACACCACCAGGCAGAACACGCTCCCTCTAAGCCGGAAGGGAAAAAGAAGGAACACACACATATAAAGGAATCACTTAAAACATGTGGCTATCCTAATTGGGCGTTTATAAAGTCAGCAAAGATGCACAGAAAAGAAGACCAGACACCAGCGAGGGAGGATAAGAAAGACAGACGCAACAACCTTGTCATCCCCTATGTAGCCGGTGTATCAGAGAAACTCAGGAGGGTTTTCTCCAAACACAACATACCCGTGTACTTCAGACCCAGCAACACACTCAGACAGAAACTGGTTCACCCGAAAGACAAAACTCCTAAACACAAACTGAACAATGTGGTGTATGCTGTACAGTGCAGCGAGGAATGCCCAGACCTCTACATCGGAGAAACCAAACAGCCACTTCACAAGCGCATGGCACAACATAGAAGAGCCACCTCCACGGGACAGGACTCAGCAGTTCATTTGCATCTAAAGGACAAAGGTCACTCTTTCGAGGATGCCAACGTTCACATTTTGGACAAAGAGGACAGATGGTTTGAAAGAGGAGTAAAGGAAGCCATTTATGTCCACTGTGAGCAACCATCTTTGAACAGAGGCGGTGGTTTACGACACCAACTGTCTGCCATCTATAATCCAGTTTTGAGATCCCTTCCCAGATGCCTCAACGCCCACGCATATCCTGGGCCATCTGACCTCAGGAATTCACATGATAGGGTGGGGCCAGGCTTCACAATGAGCTCACCTGAAACTCTGGCTGAATAGGACCCACACCCACGCTCACACCTGGGCTCATGTGTTTATGTAGAAGATCATCAGGGGGTCTTCTGTTCCCTCTTCGGGGGGAAACTCCCACTGGGTTTAAATCTGGGACTCTCGACCATTTGACCTTAGAACTGAAGAAGCCTCTCGGATGAGAGGTGAAACGTCTTCGAGCAACTCAAAGAAGTCCAGACGCTTTTCTTTCAAAGCTCATTAGACTATACCACCAGACAGACGTTTAAGCAACCAGTTACTGGCTCTGAATGACTTGTTTCTGTCTGCTGGCAGGAAGAGGCTTTTAAATGAATCTGGTAAACAACAACATGGCCTCATGTTGATGTGCAGTCAGAATTTCTCCCAAATCCATCCTTTCTTCCAGATGTGGACATGGGAAGTGCTGAACTATTGATGTATGCATAGAACGAGTTTCCTACAAACTGCTGCATTAAACCCAGGACTGTTGAGTGTTGCTCACCATTTTTATTCACTACAGGTAACAAAAAGTCGCTCATATCAGAGCAGCAGGCCTGTCTGCTAGGCCTCTTGGTGCGTACATCTGACTTTGTTCCAGAACCTGCTCGGAGACACTTGTCTAAACAGCAAAAGACTGCCTAGGGAGCTGCAAACACAAAGCCAGGCATTTGAAAGCACAGGAAGGGGGCAGAGAAAGAACGTCCAGTACCAAAGGAAGGAGTTGGACTCCAGCAGAGGAAGGAACTGAGATTAGATGAAAACTTCCCTGCTCCTACTCCCAGTCTCCGAATCAGGGCAGCAACAAACAACATGGATGCAAAAAGACCCTAAAGCCTAATTTATACTTCTCCATCAGAGAATGGACACGGAGAAAATGGATAAAGACGTTTTGCTCTCAGACTTCTCCGTCTCCTGGAGAGTGTTGCAAAGCAATTCCACGTCAGGACAGCAGAGGGCGAAGTGGTATCCTGTCATGATCCGGTCCAAGATGGTGCATTTACTGTTGTGTTGTATTCATGGACGTAATTTTGGGGGGGACAGGGGGGACATGCCCCCCCCCACTTTTTCCAAAGTCAAGGCTTGACCCCTGCACTTTTTACCATCCAAAAACAATATTACGCTATATTAAATCAACACTGGTTGAGCTCTAGCACCAAGCCGAAAGCAACCGTTTGTGTTGAAGCCGGTTTCCCATTAGAACATATTGTAAAGATACCCCCCCCCCTTCTAAAGTGAAAATTACGTCCTTGGTTGTATTTAAAATACTTTTTAACACAGACAAATTGGTCCCTCCTCCTCCTCCTCCTCTTCATGAACTCGCCACCCCTTAACCCACGTTTCCCGTCATTTCCATCCATGAATAAAACGCTTGCTGTGTATCCTTCCACTCCTCCAGTATGGCGTGAACTACACTTTATACTTATTGAAAATAACCAATAAGGAGTGATGATTCCATATAAATGTGAAATATGGACGTGTGTGTGGGTGTGTGTGTGTCGGGGGGGGGGAGAGGGGGGGCGTGTGTGTGTGTGTGGGGGGGGACGTGTATGTGTGTGTGTGTGTGTGTGGGACGTGTGTGTGTGTGGGGGGGCGTGGGTCTGTGTGGGTGTGTGTGTGTGTGGGGGGGGGGGGGACGTGTGTGTGTGTGTGGGGGGGGGGGGGAGACGTGTGTGTGTGTATGTGTGTGGGGGGGAGACGTGTGTGTGTGTGTGGGACGTGTGTGTGTGTGTGTGTGTGTGTGTGTGTGTGTGTGTGTGTGTGTGTGTGTGTGTAGGACGTGTGTCTCTGTGTGTGTGTGTGTGGGGGGGGAGACATGTGTGTGTGTGTGGGGGGAGGACGTGTGTGTGTGTGCGTGCGTGTGTGTGTGTGTGTGTGTGTGTGTGTGTGTGTGTGTGTGTGTGTGTGTGTGTGTGTGTGTGTGTGTGTGTGTGCTCTGTCTTCTCGATCCCCAGTGAGTCGTGGAGGATGGCTGCTTATACTGAGTCAGGATTCTCTGGAGGTTTCTTCCTGTTAAAAGGGAGTTTTCCTCTCCACTGTTGCTACATGCTTGCTTAGTATGAGGATTGCTGTAAAGACACTGACACTAGTCAGTGACTTAATGCAATTTGCTGGGTTCCTTATATAGGAAACATTATTTCTGATTGGCTTAATGAACTGACCTGAATTGGAATGTTTATTATGTGAAGTGCCTTGAGACGACTCTTGTCGTGATTTGGCGCTATATAAATAAAATTGAATTGAATTGAATTGAAATATCAACCTGATTGATCTTTGGATGTTTCATCAGAAAATTCTAGTCACGTTTACTTTTTCAGGGACCATAAACACACTTTGTATTAATCAGTATATAGTTTATAAAATGAATTTAATAATTCTTCCTAAATCAATAATTTATACGTGACAAGGTGTGAATAATGAGATGTGACGTGGTGGATGTGAGGTGATATAATGTGATGTGATGGAAACTAGATGTTGTAGCAACCGTTCTTTGTGTCTGAGAGAATTTGTGAAGTCTGAGTGTAAAAGAATTTGGTTGTTTGGTTATAAACTAGAGAGTTGGTTGTTCATGAAAGCCATCAGACACAATCTGTGGTGTCTACTACCCTTGTGGAGACCCCCAGTTCAGATCCAGACTGTCAGAAGTCGGGTGAACCTCGACCTCAAGTCTCCAAAGCCCGCAGTTTAGCTCTGATACGACCCGTCCAGTCTTGAGATATCTCCAGGTCACAACAGGAAGCTGGAATGCTCGTTAGTGTCCAAGGTGGATGTTTGGCTCTTAGAAGAGCCGTTTGTCCCCTCATCAAGCTCCAGCCAAGCCCTGTTTCCCTGGCAACCACAATCAGCTCCATTCATCTCACCTGTTCTTGTAATCAGCTCATCCCACACACCTGCTCCCTCTGCTATTTAACTCCCAGCCTGCTCTCCAACCATTGCCAGATTATTGAACGCTCCTTGCTAGTAAATCTTCCAGCCTTGTACCCTGCCTGATCTCAGCCTCCGGACCTCATTTTCACTCCTGACCCCTGCCTTGAACTCTGCCTGCCACCACGACCCTCGCCTGTCCGCTACCTCGTCTCCAGCCTGTTCCCTGCACCTGCTTGTCCGATCTGGTTTTTGACTCACGCCTCCTCTCCAACTCTGTCTCCAGCCTCACCCTCCTCTGGTAACTCCACATCTAATAAAGACTTTTTATTTAACTTTTACTGTGTTTGGCGTCATCACGGGTCTTCCGAGTTCTGATCGTGACAGTTTGAGTATTTACCAACATCCCTCAGAAGCCACGCCTTCTTCAGATACAAAAGGTTTTTAACACGTTGTGAATGAGAATCTTTAAAACTCTCATGTGAGGCGAATATTAACCTTAATGAGTATCTTATTGTAATGTGTATGAGTGTAAACAATGATTAACTTGCTAAATCAAACACATCGTGATTTGTGGTATAAATGGATCATTGGAAGAACAATATTCATTTTAAATTCACTGATTTAAGCGCAGATTATTCAAACATTTCATTTAAACATCTTGTTCATTCATCACATATGATTATTTAAGCTTGTGAGTTGTAAAGTCATGGAGGCTTCACTTATTCAGAGTGAAGAATGTTGATGTCTGGCGTCTGATGAAATAGCTCGGCGCCGCCTCGTTGTTCATCATATGAGGATCCTAAAGTAAAAACAGGCATGAAGGCATCAGGAACCTGCTGCTCCTGCACGTCAACACAACAAAACAGAGTCAGGTCTACTTGATGCCGGGGAACTTTCTCCTGATCTCCTCCACAAACACAGGAAGATTGTGGATCTTGTTCTTGTTGATGCACACGGTGGTGACACTCGGCATGTAGGGAAACTTGATGTGAGACGTGTAATTATTGCAGTCCAGAATCAGAGTGCTGAGCTTCTCCAGTCTTCCCAACAGAGCCAGGTTCCAACGAGAGCAGAATGCAGGAGAAGAACATGGAACCACAACAGGACTTCACCTCTTCCTCTGACACTCCAACCACCACAAATGTTCTCTTCATTAGCTATCTTCTACCGTTCCTTCCTATGACTCATCACAAAGCCACTTTCCTCTGATATCAGTGTTATTGTTTTTAACGAAAACACTGATTGTTGACTAGTCACATTTATAAAAGCGGACCGTGACCACCAGTGTTGGGAAAGTTACTTTAAAAAAGTAATTAATTATAGTTACTAATTACTTTGTCAAAAAAGTAACTCAGTTACTAACGGAGTTAAGAGATTATAAAAGTAACCAATTACCAAGAAAAATAACTGCTTAGTTACTTTTTTCATTAAAGAATGCAAGAAAAATGGGTTACTTGAACTTACTTAATTTACTATAAATTACTACAATAGTGAAATATAAATGACTAATGACTGGAACATAATAAAATGTATGTCCAAATGTTTTTTATAAACCTGAATAAATAAATAAGCACTTAACAGGAGGAACTACTAACAGGAACATTACACTAATCTAGACAATTAAAAGGTCACTGTGTGACATTTAACAAGACCCCAATCAGCTAAAATTTATAATTGCAAATAGAAACACCTGTTAAGGTTCCCGAGCCTTTAAATGGTCTCTCTTGGAGCTCCCCCCGTCTCCTGCGCATCTTTGGGGGGCGGATCTGTGGTCCCTCACACTCTCTATTGGACGCTCCTATAGAGAAACCTTAAATAAACAAGCGCGTGTACACACACAGGTGCTCACATGGTGCTCTCAAAAGTATGGGCTTGGGCACGTTAAACACATGTCTTAAGACTATGGTGGGCACTTAATGCACTGATTTATCATCGTGATTCTTCAGTTAAGCAATGTTGATTATATATTTTTTCATCAAGTCGATGCAGTGATAGCTAGATCTTGTTGTATTGTTGTTGTGTCCCTTTTTTTTGTCCTTTTGCTTTTTTTTGTCTTTTTCTGCAGGTCTAGAAGCAGACTCTTGTTCATTATGGTTTATTTTTGTGGAACCCCCCCCCCCCTCTCTCTCTCTCCCCACCTTTTCTTTTCCTTTCTCTTTCACCTCTGTCTCCGTGTCTGGTCGGAATTACAATGCATTCAACAACAATAACAATAAAGTTTTAAGTATCAGGCGTGACATTAAAAGCAAACGCTTTGATGCGCCACCTGAGAATAAATCTGTAAGGCTTGTCACCAGCATTCAGACATCAATTCTGCTTGCTTCACAGCCAGACAGGACACGGTAAAAAAAAGGTCTCTCAGTCTAGTTAAATTACAGAAATGAATGTAATTTTGCACAGTATTTTAATTTTTCCAGCTTCACATAATTGTCTGTTATTAGTAGCATTTCTGTTGCTGCTAATCTAGTAACGGTTAAATAAATAAATAAAATCCTTTAAAATGACACTAGAAGAGGCACAAGCCTGATGGAGGACTCACATTTACAAACTTGGGTCAGACCCAACCACAGAGCAGCTGAAGCTGGGGCTGGGTGGTAAACACTAGGGATGAGCGAGTACACCACTATCTGTATCTGTACTCGGAGTGGGCATGGCCTAACACGGAAGTGGGTGTAGTTTAACCGGAAGTGGGTGTGGTTTACATCAATACTTTCAGTCCGATCAGAAGTTGCTATGTGTATTGTTTATTTGAAAACTATTTACAGAGCAGCCTCAGAGTTGAGATGAAATGTTTTTGATCACAATAGTAAAGGAACTATTACAGAACAAGTTTTTCAATAAAATCAGAACATTAATATTTAAGTACATGAATTAAGAGAGAGAGAAGAAAAGATATTTTCTATAGCGCCTCAAGATAAAAATCACGGGGCGCTTCACAAAAACAAAACTTGTAAAATAGAAAAAAGAATTTAGAAAATGATTAAAATATATTTAAAATGAGCAAAAATTAGACAATTGTGACTAAAAAATGTAAAAAAGAGAGAGAGTGAATAGGAAAGAGGGAGTGGATCCTGAGGAAGAGGAGAGAGAGAGAGAGAGGAAAAGAAAAAAACCCGACCGGAGCGGAGGCAGTGACTGACGCAGCACGAGCCGTTTTCAGCTCCGTCTTGTCAAAGGCACCACGTACGTTACGAATAAAGTAACTTTAAAAAGAAGCAAACTGAAGAAAACATAGGGAGTACTGAAGAAACATGAACAGTGAAGCAAGCACAGAGAGATTCGTTACTGTGTGTGTGTGTGTGTGTGTGGATGGACCGGACACGGACTGAGCTGTGAGCTCCCGGCTGCAGAGTTTTGTGTGTAGGGAGGGGTGGGCGCTCTATTTGACTGGCCAATCACAGAGCGTGAAAACAGTCAGTTACCCAATGAGGATTTTCCTTAAGCACGATTACAGATATTTACGAGTTTTACTCGTTTCATGCTCGTACTCGTCAAAAATGCTTTATCCGTACCGGATACTCGTCTGAAAAGAGTATCCGGCTCATCCCTAGTAAACACTAGGAATGCTTTATCCGGTACGGATAAAGCATTTTTGACGAATACGAGCATGAAACGAGTAAAACGAGTCAATATCTGTAATCGTGCTGAAGGAAAATCTTCATTGGGTAACTGACTGTCTTCACGCTCTGTGATTGGCCAGTCACATAGAGTGCCCACCCCTCCCTACACACAAAACTCTCTAAGCCGGCCGGGAGCGCAGTCCGTCTGGCTCATCCACGCACACACACACAGACAGTAACGGATCTCGCTGTGATTGCTTCACTGTTTCTCACGTTTCTTCAGTTTTCCCTAGGTTTTCTTCAGCTCGCCTCTTTTTCGGTTGAATATTTAAGGTTACTTTTTTCGTAACTGACATGGTGCATTTGACAAGACAGAGCTGCCGTGCTGTTGTCACTACCTCCGCTCCGGTCGGGTTTTTTATTTTTTTGAACTCC